CCCAAAAGTCAGCATCCTTTTCGGGTTAAATCATACAAACTACCTACCAAGGTCTAAGTTAACCGAAGTCAACTCCAACCCCTTCACTAGTTTGTACTGGCCTTCGAAAACGGAATGGTTTTCGGACAAAATGATCAATAGATCAGCCATTGGAAAAGTCTAAGAAAATTTGTGGAAAATTTCCCATCCTAGAGAAAGAATGACTCTCAGTCCAGGATTGCAAACTTTCAAGACTCAACCAACTTCCTTCTACCAACAACTTCATATAGGCTCACCTCAACACAAATTCTCATGATCGAACAACATGTTTAAGCATCGAACATCTTTGCCCATATAACCGACATCCAACACTGACATTCGCAAAGTGCAAAATGAACATCCAAGGCTTGATCACGAAGACCACATCTTTGGATATCCACATTACACTAACATTCTTCTTCAATCACCTTCAAGATCTAATGTGAAGCCGAAACACTAACAAGAAAAATGACACGGAAAATCAAGGTCCAAGGAAAATTCCTCATCACTTGAAATAACAATGCCACTTCCACTAACACAAGTGTTAGTGATGTCAATGTCCCAACTATACATCTTCTCCATCCAACAATCTACTCCAAATGCTAACGGATCAACCGACAAGTCATAGCAAGTGAATGCTATAACCCTTTTCCAACACCTAATGGGCAAACTCAAGGAAACAAGGTACCAACTTAAGTTTAGCATAATGGACCATCTCCGAGAATTCAGTCAAAGCTACTACAATGCTACTTCGTGCAAGTAGACTAGCTTCTCCATCAACCACTTTGGGGTTGATCATCATTTAACCAAGCAACTTCGTAAACACATTGCTCATTATCACATGGATATGATATAGAAATCACAATGACTTGATCATCGATTGAGCAACACCACGAGAAATGCCAATGTCATTACTTCAAAGGTTTATGTGAGTATCAAGTGCCAACTCAATTCGACAAAATGCAACATAAATGCCACACTCCACCAATAAAGATTTACAACACCCAACATTGCTAACTTTTGTTCACAACACGGACAAGCACATGCCACTCTCTATCCAACCAATCTCAAAACTAATCCAACACCAAGCTATTCAAAGAGCAATAGCAAGGTTCCCTAGAAAAGAATCGAGCATTGCAACCCAAGTCTTCCAATAGCAAGCTTAAACAAAATGGTTTAGCGCTTCACCGCTATCCATCCCACAACTCACCATTGTAAGACCACCATCTTCAACATGCATCAAGATAGGGACTCTTGATTGCATGATGTGAACACAAGCAATGAGTTAACACCTCGTTGCAAATCATCTCTCCAAGAAGAGAAAATGATTTATGTATTTGATCCTTCTGTCCCCGATGACTCTCTTTTCGGTCTCATCTTTGACCAAACCTCAAGCTTGCTTTCACACTGCCTTCAGTTCAATCGAAGAAAAGTTTATGAGAGAGCACGGCCATGACTACTTGAACCAATAGACTAATCCCTATAGTCTTGATTGATCCACTTATAATCATGCCTAGGAAGGATCCACTAGTGCCGCACTAAACAACTACGGACCAGCCTATTTGCCACTCATAGCAAACCCAAGTAGGTTTGCTTTCACCCATGGTACAAGGAATAACTCATGGAACCACTGGAACCACTCATGGAACCACCAATAGGCTAACATTAATCCTGCCAACTCAAAGTGCAACCTTGAGTTGCTAATGTGCCTCACTCACGAGCCCAAGCGCAAACTCGTGCTACTGGAACAACTCAAATCCATCTTATGAGCCCAAGAGCAAGCTCACATAATTACGGTACAAGAAGGCAACCAAATCCATACCCAAGGAACGATTGCGAAGTCTTTGCACCAAAACGTGTACCCACTCGGATCATCATTTTCATCTCTGCGTATGCAACGAGACTAGTTGCCCAATCTCATTGAATAGTACTCGCTGAGACTCATCCTCTGATACCAAATGTAGCGCACGTGGTTTTTACCCTTTATCCTATGGTGATTTACCATAGGATAACACCACGAAGCGGAACCTAAACCCTTTGTGCCACATGACAGATGCCACATGTCACATGCCATGTGTCTAAAGGACCGTGGTGTGGAACCCGAGGTTCAGGGCCTTGGCCACTGAACGAAGGAACGGTGCCAAACTCCCAAGCATGGAGCCAAGGAGTGACGGAACCGAACCACGGAGCAACTCCCGAGCGTACAGCCGAAGGAGCGAAGGGACAGGGGCCCGGAGTGACTTGGAATAGTCCTAGAGCAACCAGCATCCCAATGCCAGGACCAGCACGCAAAACGGAGCCAAACGGAGTCTGGTGCTATTTCGGCATACCGGTGGCCTAACGTGAGGATATGGGTACTCCACCAGCTAGCATGGAATGGAACTTGGGCTTAGACCCAAGCCGGACGCAGAACAAGGACAGGCACACAAGCGGGAGCTAGACTATGCCTCAGGTTGGTCGGCCATGCCCGACCTACCCACTATCCCTACTATACATTTAGAACCCCCCACAGCCCCCCCCCCCCCTTGAGGAACACATGCTTTAGGCTTTCACCCCAAGCCTCCCTTAGTATCAGGAGTTAGTCTCTGGGACAAGCTCAAAACTTACTAAATATGGAGTGTCCCTAAATTGCGAATTTGGACACGAGATGAACACCATTGTGTTCAGGACGATCTCTACATTCCGTAGATATGCCAAATGAGCAAATCTAGACACTTTCCATAAATAGTATTTGGGACCGAAATGAGACCAACACAAAGGGCATGATAGCGAGGGTGTTTGGCAGACACAGTAAGCTATCATTCGGCGATATTGAGGGACCAATCTCAATATGCGAGGGTTCTTGTCAAGCCAGTGCAAGACAGAGCAAAAGACAACTAAGAGCCAGGTCGAGTATGCTCAGCTAGAAACACATAGGAGTTCCTACCTTATGTCCATCTGGCTAAGTACAGATGCTAAGCCCAGTAAACTAACACTTGAACAAGAGGGGCTGATAAAGGGAACCAGCAATACCGATCTCCTGCCATCCTGGCAGTAAGGTAAGAGTGTCCATAAGGACTGGTCGACAGGTAACTTTCGATACCCAAAGTCACATGCGCGACAATATCTCATCACCTAACACCTGAGTGGGCCAAACTAGCCTTTCTTAGCCAAACTAACTCCACTAGGGTCCAACCCTCACATTCTCCCTACTATACTTTTGAACCCTCTACAGCCCCCCTCAAAGTCTATATATATAAAGAGACTTTGAGTTTAAACAACAAACAACAAATTATAAGAGAAACAAATCCTATAAGAGAAAATGTAAGCTTAAGTTTTAGTTTAAGTGTCACTTATATATGAAATATGAAATCAATACCTATTAAATTTTGGGATTTTAGAACATATATTACTCTTTCTCATATAGATTTAAAACCTCAACAATGGTAAGCTAGAATCATTTATGAAGAATAATCTATCAAATTTTCAAAATCTCTTAAAATTGAAATAGAAGATTTAGATATATAAAACACTTGGAGCTCTTTATACCTTTTCCAAATTAATTATTTATAAAACTTATAAGTGCTAAATTTTAAATTTATATAATTAAAAATATTCTTTATTCAGCATAAAATATTAATGTAATAAAGTTTGAAAAGATATTTTTTTATATCAGTTTTTCTAAACTTGTTTCTAGAAAACTACCTTATAGACTCTATAGAGAATAAAAATTTTATCATAACTGTTATAACAAATAATAAACTATATTACATTTCATGAACTATATTAAAAAGTAGTAAATATTATATATTAATATATTTTATTCATACAGTATTTTTTTAGGGGTTTTTAGTGCTAGCCTAATATGGTGATTATCAATTTCTTCATAGGCTCCTTCATCAACATCAGAAATGGTGAGATGTAATTGTATATCATCCAAGCGTGTATAATATATGTAATGCATATGATCATGAGATGAGATTTAGATACTATCATCATACATTCTTAGAACTTTTGGTGATAAATGGGGATAAAATAACTATTAAACCTCTTTTATTAAATAATTGCCTCTTTTTCCAATTGGCTGAAAGGGAGAAAGCATTACATATAAATTTTTATTTATTAGTAGCTACTTAGACTATAATATATCCTTTTGAATAAAGTATATTTTTACCCTTAAAATTGAAATTGTATTGAGCATTTATGATTATATTCTTCATCTTGCTCTATCATCTTTCAGATGTTACCATTAAAACAACTAAATTTTTTAAGAAATTAAATTTTTCATTTTACTTAACTATGACCACTTGGAAGAGTTCCACTCACCACCTCAATATATCCTAAATTAATTTGAGGTACTTGCTAGACATTAGTGGTGAACTTGGTGTATGTGTTCTATATGTCTAATCTTATTTTAAACACTTATAAATATCATTGACATATCAACCTTTTACACTAAAGCAATATTCATTCTTATTGGTCCAATTCCACCAATACTATGGTCTTGTATTTGATTATCTATCTATGAATAGTCATCTTATAACTACACTTTAGCATCTTTAAAATGCTTTAATATATAAAGGAATGACATCCCTTAATATCCCTTTTTTGATCCCTACTAAATCCCTCTCATTTTACAATCATACTTGCCAATACTACCACTAAGTTAGGTGTAAAGACTTGTCCACTAAATTTTATTAACCTCTTAGATTTCCTCTAAGAAAGGTGTAATTTCTTGTTAAGAGTAAGCATTTGATTGTAAAAATTCCAAAATTTCCTAGATTTTAGAGGTTTTGCCATTTTTTTTAGCCCAACAACAAACTCAATATGTGTCATTGGCCATACTATGATAGGCATGTGACCATTCTTGAGCAACATAATTATGGCAGGTCAATGAAATATAACCACATGGCAGATGCAATATTGTGTAGTATAGACCTTTTTACCATATCACACAGCACCACCAGTTTACAAATAACACACCATATCACACAGCACTGGTCATGCCATCATTTGAGGCACATCTCACGTCCACAAAGTGCGAGGTTCTGGAGTCCTTGCAAGTCGTCACTGCTATTTTCGACAGCCTTTCTCCCGATCTACAGGTCGGATGTGTTCTCTGCATTCATCCTCCATGGTGACGAAAATTGCTGGCTGTGAAACAATCTCTAGTTCTGTGTGTTTTTACTGCCTAGGCACGAAGTAGCGAGTGTAAGTGGACATGGAAGAGTACTTCTTGTTCCTCTCTTTGAGCTTCTCTTGGCTCTAAAGGACGTGGATTTCCCTTGAGAGTACAGTTGCATCTGAACTATCTGCTGATTTTGAATGTTTTTAGCAGGGCAACGTGGATGCACATCCCCGTGGGGCGGACGATAATTTTTTTTTCTGAAGTCTTGGTAAAAACGGCTTGACGACAAAAGCAAGTTCGACGATCCTGCCTCGCTAGTCTGCTGGATCTTGAGACTTTCTAGACGCGGCTCGCGTGAATTCTTCAAGACACATCGAATTTTTTAACACTCTGTGGACCACGTCAGCACACAGCCCCGTGAGCGATCCAGACGCCGCCACGGATCGTCACGATAAACCCATACATTTAACCATGTATCAACCGTCATAATATAACAAAACACCGTTTCATAATACAACACACTCTACGTCCTTGGAAGAGTCAGTTTCTTCCCGAGAATTTAAGGAGACCAAACCTTGTGCTCGACTCACGGACAACAACAAGGGCTTCCCTTTCCGAGAATCAACTGAATGAATGGCACAAAGCCGAGAATCAACTGAATGAATGGTCCAAAGCTGCAGAAGTTGCGGTGTCTCTCGATGTGGTATGAGCTGCAAAATCACAGTTGGAGTTTCTTTTCCTGGTACATGGCAACTTCAGACTGTTTGAGGGGCCTGTTTTAGGAAGGGCAATCGAGAGGTGAGATATTAATTACTTGCTTCATCTAGTTTTCTGATTTCTTCTTGGATTCTAGATACCAGTACTGCTGCCTTCCGCTGCTAGCAAATTCTTCCATTGCCATCGCTTGAATCCTGTAAGTGTAACCATTCATTTTCTGTTTGCTGAAGTAACCTCTCTGACTAGGTTCAATATGCTGAGGACTGTAAGAGATTGTTCGGTAAGATTGTGGCCGGACCATCTTTGGCGAGACACGAAAGCGATCTCCAGCAAAGCGCCAATACCTGGGCTTCGAATTTCCGGGACGAACCATACACTCTAGACATTTACGGTGGAGACGTGACAAGAAGATATACCGAAAGAGCAACCAATATCTCTTATGACTTGGCAGAAGCGGCTCTCAGGCAGAAAAGTTTCTACTATCAGGCAAGTGGTGATCTTTTCTTGAAAGCAAACTCAACTTTAAGTATGCAGGTTTCTGATCCGCATTACCTGGATGAGAGCTTCTTGCTAGCTGCAGCTGCACGTTACAAGGCATTTCTCCATCTCATACGCACGTCTGGCACATCAACGTTTTTCGTTCCCACTTACGACATTGATTTGATATGGCATACTCATCAGCTTCACACTGTGAGCTACCACAACGATCTCACACAGGTACTGGGAAGCATCTTCGAGCATGACGACACAGATAGCAACCGAGGTTCTGGAGGGAAACTGGACAATGGATTCACAAAAACTCGATCTATGTGGGAAGACACGTATGGCCTTCCATACGAGAAAGCAGGCTGCATGTATAGAGGGGAGCCACCAGTATCCATTCCAGGAACACCTGCTTATGATCCAACCAAGCTCGCTAGGCTTGCTAGTAAAAACGACGATCACTTGGCTGAGCGAAAGACCATTCAGGTATTTGAGTTTGCAGATTTGTTGTCAATCTCGCCGGATCCGATCGATTTCTGTAGGTTCATCTCTCCGTGCGAGGTACTAGAGGTTTGCCAGACGACAAGACCATCTCCTATGTGGTCAGCTCGTTAAACCATCAAAAGTTTCTGAAGCTCGAAAGCCAACGAGTGAAGGCTGCCTCTCAGCAGAACGTAGTGTCAGTCATGACGGCTGAACTCTCCACCGAAGGACTGGTGCTAGCAGTTCGACGGAGGCGGGTTTTGATATCCAGAACTGTGGGCCGGCTCGTGATTCCATGGATAAATGTCATCCGTTCGGAAACACAATCACTCGGCGGCTGGTTTCCATTCCAGGAGGACCGACAAGTGTCGGTGCTGGTTTACATCTCCGTTACTTCTCCAGTCACTGCGCCTTATCTCTTTAGAAGCGTGAGAGTGAGAGACACGGGAGACGACAGTGCCACTCACGACAGTAACCGCGAAAGCATGTGGATAACAAGGAACGTTTTCGACCATGCCAGAGTCGAATCCTTCGTTGTGCGTTTGCAGGTTTGTACGCTGTGATCAAGCCTTCCACTTTTTTTCAGGCTGATGCAGTAACTTTTCTTGTAGATACAAGCGTGGAGGGTTTTGGCTAAGAAGCATTCCAGACACTGATAAAGTTGTGCACGCTCACAAAGGAGGGTGGACATACAAAGGTTCTTATAACACTGGCTCTGTAAACGGTATGGCAAAAGCAACAAATCTTTTGGATCGACAAAATGTTTTTTCTTTCTCAGGTGAAATTCTGGGATCTGCGTGGCAACTGGAGAAACCATCTTTGGAATCTAGGAGATGGTCTCTGCAGAACGGGAAGGCTATTTTAACTGTGGACAGAAATGTGAAGGATAAGCACTGGAACATGAGACCACAGCTCCACGTTGAAATGAAATCCCACAACTGTCCGGTGAGTTAGTGAGATTATACAGTGGTACAGATGGCTGATTCTCTGGAAAACTTGATTGTAGATCATGCTCTTCTCGGGTCGTCACCTGGACTTTGCTGTTCCTGGTGCATCTGACCGACAGGAAGCGTGGTTTGTGACAATGGTGAGATTCACAAGAGACGCTCCTCAAGGCAAGGCGACAGCTCTTTTCAACTGGCGGTCTGGAGGCATGCAGGTAAAGCTCGATCTATCTCATTCTAAGAAACCGTAAATGAAAGCTTACTTCCAGATTGATCCCAACGAGGATGTGCTGCTTGTGCTTCTTTTGTCGGCAACCATAAGCATGTCCGTGTCCGATATGCTCGGCAAAGCCATTCCTTCGTGGACGATGAGGAGTAAACGAGTGATCGTCTCAGAAGAAGAACAAGATCATTGGAGTGAGAAACGAATATTTTGCACCCAAATACTAAGAACATTGCTGCCTGACCAGGTGCTGTGACGATTGATCGCCGTTGCAGCAAGGTGATTGAAGGTGGTGGCGGAGAGGGCAGGGGAGAGGGCGGAGGCGACGGTGGTCATGGTTTTGGTGGTTCAGGCCAGTGCTGGTATGATGGAGGTGGTTCGTATTGTGGCGATGTGGTGGAGCAGGAGGGGAGGAGGTTCGTATTGTGGCGATGTGGTGGAGCAGGAGGTGGAGGAGGAGGTTGTGGAGGAGGTGGTGGAGGCGGTGGTGGCTGCGGGTGCGGTGGCTGTGGTGGTGGGAGTTGAATCACATTGTACAAAGAGATAAAAACAACTTTTAAATCCAAATTCTAGGAACTTCGTTTAAGATGTTACCAAATAGAAATACAAAGAATTGGCCGTAGAGAGAACAAATGAATGTGAATCTTCTTGGATGATTCCGAGAATAAATTTTTTTCTTCGTCACGAGCTGGAAGTATTTTCCTCGGCAGCACACTTGACTTGTAATGCTGCTCGAACAACGTTGCCTCTCGTGATCAAACCGACCTGGAAGTTTACGAAAGAATTCTCACAATCAAGCAAATCTAATTCTTCGTTACCAGGTTTCCAGACTCGTCCACAACAGGAAGCCTCTGGTACTTGGTGTCAAGCAATATCCTTGGATCCAAAGGAAAACCAAGAAGTTTTAGCGAAATTTCTATCGAGTATGGCAGAAACGTTTGAAGCTACCTGGCTGCGTCTTAAATGTTCATGTCCACTCGAACCACCAGCGGCAAGGGAGTCATCAAATCTCCCACAGTCTTGCCTTGGATTTTGGTGAGAAGGTGTTGGATCTCTTTGAAGGCCTGAAAGAAAGAAAAAAGCTAACTCTAGAAAGTTTTGCTCACCTTCCATGTACTTCCTGCCTCGGGGAACAAACTGTTGCTTGATGGCCTCTTCCCTGAGATTGAGAAATTCATAAGAAAAACCTTGGAGCTCTGGCTTACCCAAGATAGAATCAAGAGCTAGTAAATTGTAGTCTGATACAACTCCAACCTGCGAGAGATTTGGCTTTCAGATCTATGAGCTTCAAGAAAGAGATGGCGAGACTGACCAGCTTTCTGTCCTTGTCTGTAACTGGAAGCCCAGTAATGCGATTGTCCACGAGCAATTTCAAAGCTATCATTTTCGAAAGCCACAAAGTCAGTCTGGAAGAGAAGAAGAAAAGAAAACACTAACCATCATCCACTGTTGTTGAACACAAAAGAGATCCTTCTTTGGCATTATGAAATTGCAAATTGTGTAATAATTGTGCTTCTTCTACATGTGTATGGCGTGCCAAAAAGAGAAAGCCCTATGATGCAATCTTTGATCTTTCATTTTAATCTAGAGCATATGTTAACTAGTTCCCTTATGTTAAAAAAAATGGCTTTGAATGAAAGTTAATGTTTGAGGACTTTCAAACTTATACAAAAAACTATGTTACATTAATTATGTGACTTATTAAGTGGGATTAGAGGAGTAAAAACTTTAGTTGAAGATGTTAACTTCAAGAGGGGCCCATGGGGCAAAACATGGGGCATGCATGATTATAAATTGATTTTGTCAAGTGAGAACACTTAAAAATTTGAAGGAACTATGTTATTAAATTGTCAAGCATGGCTATATTCCTAGATTATTCCTCATCTTCTTTGCATGAAACCTTTGCCCCAGAGGGGTATTTATGGAAAGCATTGAAGTATTTCTCATGTTTGAGCAAGTGTTAGAAGAGCACCTTCTCATTCCCCTAACAAATAGTGAACCTGAAATGATGAGTATAGCTTTCAAAGGTGTCATTTCTATCTTTTCCTTTTGGCCGTAAACTTTGAGGAGAAATTTTTTGTTTTTCTAACAGCAGATTTGCTTGATCTTAGGCATATTGGATAGGTCTAAAGCTCCTTTTTTCAGCAAGGTTGATTCTTGGTGCTAGATTTGAGAGAATTTGTGGCATGCAAAATGATTTTCTTTATCTTTTCTTAAATCTCACAGGATATTGAGGTGTTTTCATCACAAATTCTTGGAATAATATGGTAGATGGGGTTGAACTCTTTTCAACAATCCTACTTACAATCAAAATAATGAAGGATCAAGATCAAGGTATTCATTTTTCAATTTTAGGCTAAACTTTGGTGAGGGTTTTCTAGGAAATAAGTAATCTTTCCTATATATGCTTTAAGGTGTGTCTTGGAATGTTAAAAGAGCTACACTAAAGCAATTTTTACCAATCAGCCTATATCTCCTTCCATTTTTAAATGTATTTCTTTTTATCACGGGCATTTTGGGCAATTTTGAGCAACTTGTGAACAAGGCAAAGGATTCTAGGCCATTTATTATGGCCGAGGACTCTTCTTTCTATGCTTTAGAGAAGTTTACAGCCTTATTACTCCTGTCAATTAAGTTGCTTTGACTAAACATTTGCAGTATTCAAAGTATTTAATGCCAGTATAGATTAGGAATATGGCAAACTAGTGCCCTTTTACTATACCTCAAGGCCCTAAGGTACGGAGTAAAGTTTTTAGCATCCAGAGGCAACTTAGGTACAACATAGCACCTTCTCAAGTTGAGTTTTCTTCATCCTCAATAGATTCTAGCAACTCTGATCTATGAGCTATGGCACAGCCATATTTAGCTCAACATCAACTCCATGTTTTGCAAAAGAGGAGTGATTTACCAACCTTCTTAAGTGTTGGAATAGTTTCTCCAACATTGCATATCAATTGCTTTGAGTACTACTACACCACAAACATGATTGTTGATAATGATTGTATATGCTATAACTTCTTGCAATCTTATGAAGGAAAATTAGCAACTTGGGTAGATTCTCTTCTCCTAGAGGACTAAATGGACTTCCAGACACTACTTGCTTTGTTCAAGGAACATTTCATCAAAGAAAAACCCACAAATCGGCTATTTGTCGATTTTGTTTTATTCCAGTAGGGTGCTCATGAGTTTGTCCTTGACTATATCACTAGTTTCAAGTGTACTAGAAGCAATGTTGGGATCATAGAGTGGTCCAAGACAAGCAGCATGGGATCATAGCATTTATAGTAGGTTTGCATGAGAACTTGCAATGGAAACTTCTCAAAAAAACATTCAGGTTTTGCTATGAGGCATTTTCATTTGCCATAAAGCTGGAAAGAGAATTATTTGTCAACTTGGGGATTGTTAAAGTTGATTTTAACGCCTTGTGCAACTATTCACCCATCACCACTAAAGCCTATTGCCGTTGAACACACACCTCTAACTATTGAGAAATGTAAGCTCCTGAGTTTGGACTTCCTGAGAGGTCACCCAACCCAGTATTATTCAAACCCAAGGACACTTAACTCCAACTATCCCAAGACCCTTAACCGATTGGAAAAGAAAGTGCACTTTTGTTCATGGGCCCTTTCCCTTTATATTTGAACCCTATGGACCATTTCTCAAGTTGTTCTCTTTGGTTGTTTACACTTTGCCAACATGATGCAATAGTTGAAGGTGATCATTCTTTAGCAATAGTCACACCATGACAAGCTGCTCTAAGAGTTTATGAAGTCTAGAAAAGAGGCTACTACAGCTTGGGAATGCTAATTCATTCAAGTCCTATTAGTGCACTCACTACGAGACAAACACACATAGCATATAGTGCCACTTCAAACTTCACCTAGTGCTTCAACCTCCACCTTTTCAACGTGTCCAACAATATCCCTTCACTAACAACTCCACACCATCTCATGGTCTAGAGACATACTAAGAGTAGTTGGAGCAATGAGTGATCAAGGCAGCCTTTTCATCAAACAAAGGCAAAGCACCAACTTCATCAATCAACACAATTTTGGTAACTGAGGAACTTTACAAATAGAAACACCAAACCACAATCTCTATTTGCACTAAATCTAGTGATATAGTGAGTGGCTTTTAAGCTCCCCTTCAAGTCACTACTCTCCTCTCCTCCTGGGATCTCATCAACAGCTATTCATGTTTTGGAGCTAGTTCTTCAATAACTAGTTGACACTCTTTTTGCTCCGAGAAATATTGTGCTTTGTCCTTGAATTCTACTAGCATTTAGAGGAGTTTCCAAGGTCAGGAACACCACAGAGCACTTTCAGTAGGACTCCTCAAGAGGTGCACATCATCAACATGACAAAATATGGTGGAGATCTTGGTCCATTCTTCGTCCTAGTGCAAATTGGCACTTCCTCTTGCAATGGATGTTTTGGTTGACTCTAGTTCTATAAGTAATATTATCTCTCTTGAAGATACCTTTTCAGCATAGCTAGAGATCATTGAGTGCTCCTCCATTGTGTTCAAGACCTTTGCCAATCACACTATTCCTCCAATGCTAATGTGGCATTAACATCTCGATACAAGGTGTTATTTTTTAAGTAGATTTCCTTATGGTCGACTACGAGTGTCTTGGAACATCCTCCTTGAAGCACTCTATTATCCTTAGCTGTTTATGGCAAGTTCTAGCCCATTTGTAGCACACCTGAATTTGGAGCTGAATTCCAAGCCCGTTGTGCTACGAAATGAGGGTCCGGTACAATCCTACGAGCACCAACTCCCCGTATCAAGCACCTGCATGCAAAATGGTGTTAGATGGTGTCTGACACAATTTTGGCATACCTGTAGCCTAATGCGAGGAGGAGGGTACCCCACCAACTAGAGCAATATGGAGCTTCGGCTTAGACCCAAGTCAGACACAAAACAAGGAGCGACACAGCCCAGTGGAAGCCAAACTAATGCCTTAGGTGGTCGGACATGCATTCCAACCACTATCCTTACTATACATTTGGAACCCCCCATAGCCCCCCTCCCCCTCTTGAGGAACACACGCTTTGGGCTTTCACCCCAAGCCTCCTTTATTACTAGGAGTTAGTCTTTAGGACAAGCTCGAAACTTACTAAATATAGTATGTCCCTAGATTGCGAATTTGGACATGAGACAAACACCATTGTGTTTAGGCCAATCACTACGTTCCGTAGATATGCCAAATGAGCAATTCTGACACTTTCCATAAATAGCATTTGGGACCAAAATGAGACTAACACAAAGGGTATGATAGCGAGGGTGTTTGGCAAACACAATAAGCTATCATTTAGCGATATTAAGGGACTAATCTCAATACACGAGGGTTCTTGTCACTAGCTAGTGCAAGACACAACGAGAAGGGAACTCCTTACTGGGCTAAGTATGCTTAGCTAATAGTACATAGGAATTCCATCCTTATACTCATCTGGTCTAAGTACATTCGAAATGCCCAATTAACTCCACTAGCACAAAAGGGGCTACCAAAGGGATCCAACTGTACCAACCTCTTACCGTCATGGC